TGTTCGGGCAAACATCGTTACTCCACTTTAACATTTATTTCCAACCTGTTTATCCCCGTCTTATTATCCAATTTTCCCAGCAATTTATTTAATTACACGAAGAAAAAGCAATGAAATATAAAGTACTGAATTACCAGTGGAAACCGAAGGAAACCTCAACTTCATCGAATTTTCCTTTACTAATTGCCAGATAACTTTCAATCCATGAATTGAGTCATTTTCTGGATTACTTGACGATTGATAGAGTGCTCCATTAATTGAACACGCGATTGATGAAGCATTGACTAATCAATTCCATTTTTATAACGAATAGCGATCGATTATAAATTCAGGGATTCAATAACAGTGAGCTGATGGATTGCTAATTCGGAAGGTGAATTTCTGGAATTTCGAGTGATGATAAAAATATATATTTTTAACGAATGCAGGATGTCTCTAGTTTAATATTCTACATTTTAAAGTGCATGAAACTACGAATTAACCAGTTAAATACTTGTAACAATTTTTTTTTTAACCAATTGGGAAATCACTTGCCACAAACTAGTCGGTGGGAAATCGTGGCCTATCGTGCGCCCATCTATCAAAGGAACGAGGGGTAGAATGCTCCTTGAAAGTTTGGGATCAAAGTCAATGAGAATTGGAATAACTTTTCCAGTATTCAAACGAAGTCTCGACGGGATGGTTAAAGTGCAATTGGTATCATAACGAGAATTATCGATCTTCATTGGCACTTCATTGGCATTGGATATTGAATTTTAGAGAGGATGATTGAAACGGAGTAATTATTTAATAATAATCCCTCCGTCACCGGAATAAATGTCCGCGACAATTGGCAAAAATTTGAGTCACCGGTTTTTTAAATAAAATTATTTGCCAAATCGTATAAACTTTTCTTTGCCGTTAATAATCGCTATAAACTGGGTTCATACCCATGAGAATAACTACAACTAAAGTATCCCCCGGTGAAGAGAACTGAAAGCGTGAATGATTACTGTTAGAAGTGTTTTTTTTTCCACCCCTGATAATACACCCCCACAAATTCATGCTTTGTTACTCCGAATAATTTTCAACATGGCATTACCCATAAATTCTACAACGTATGTCGGAAATTGGAGGCCATAAAATTACAGAGCAATTCAATAAACATGGAAATCCAAAAAGCGACATGAATTTTCCATTTCGATAGAGACTCGCTACAACAATCCCCCGAAAAGTTCAAGTGCATTAAAAAAATATATAATTCAAGCCGACGCAAAGCCCGAAATATTTCCCAAAATAATCTCTCAACAATATTACAACAATTACCTGCAGCCAAACAGCTCATAATTCCCTAAAATAAAATGAAAAAAAAACAGAACCTCGAAAATCCCACATTATTTTCCACCCCCACCCTCCAGAATTCCCATAAACCTCCTTTTACACCTGTGGAATTACTCCAACCCGACAATTTTCCCTCGCTTCTCTCGTTTTTAAAAAATAAACCAGTAAATGAGGAAGTTAAACCCCAGGATGATTTCCCGCCATAGAAAATGCAGCGTATAAATATAAAATGATCCGCAAGCAAGTACCTCCCCGAAATCAGGCCCGAAAATCCGATTCCTCCTAGAATCCCGGAGAAGATGAAAATAAAAAACGAAAAAGCTTAAAAATTCTCGACGTACATTTCCAACGTAAATTACCCAGTAAATGCCGTGCCACCGTGTACCCCTCACCCCCCACCCCGGCTTAATCAATAACTCTGTCCAGACGAGTAAGAAAAGCGAAGAAGTGAAAAAAAGGCAGGGGTGAAAAAAGAAATTGAAGAAAGAGTAATAAAGGGGGAAAAAAAAAATGAGAGGAGTTAAAATGAAAGGGAGGAAGTAGAAAAGGTACCGAGTGAGACCGCGATGAGGACTACGATGTGGTAAGGGATGAAAAATATTTAAAAAGAGGTGAAACGGGAGATGGAAAGGGGTAAAAGGGAGAAGTAACGACATGCAACGCACCAGCACACGAGTTTTCGAGTCAATGGGGAAGTAAAACACCTTGTCACGCAATGCAAATGAGCCACCCCCTGGCTTTTTAGTTTTTTTTTTTTTCTCCTACCCCTCCCAATGCGCTTATCCATCCTCGGCATGGCTCCACCCCCGTGTGCACGAAACACACCGAGATTTCACCGAGATTTCACCGAGAGTACGATCTTAATCTTAAATCCCGCTAATCGTCATCCGCTCGAGCCACTTCGGTGCCTCGTAAGTTTCCGCACTTCCAACTTCTTAGATATACAGCATTCACGAGTACTTGTACCCTTTGGGTTTAGAAATTTTCGAGTCTCGGGTACTCGCTGTTTGTTATTGGGATTTTAGGGGGGGGTACTGATGCGGGGGTCATTGGTGATAAAGAAAAAGTGAAATTATGTGCAATGCCCAGTACTTTGTGTACTTAGTGGTGCTTAGGATACTAGAGTACTTTTCGGATGAGAAGGGAAAGGCGAGAATTTTTTTTCACCCCCCGCCCGGGGGGTCTGAGTTATGATTTTCGAACAGATTTTCAGAGCAAATCGAATTTTCTCCTTGCCAAATGTCTTCATCCGAGAAATCACTTCTCCACTTATCGGCAGATAAACCTGAATCCTCGATGTGAAGATCCATATGAATACTAGATTCATCCTAATCGTTCCACGTTGAACCATTGACGCACGGTCGCTCCACAGCCCTCCGGGGATGATCCAATTAACCCATCATTAATAAGGGATTCCATTGTGATACAGACAGGCAATTGCTCGTGTGCGCAGATGATGGTCTGTGTCCACTCGCCTAGAAAATCTCCATCAATGTACCTGCATTTCGAAAAACCATGGAATAACATCTCCAATCGCTCACATCAACAACCCCTAATTACCCCTCGCATTGAAAACTCATTTAACAAACCAATTACCAACTCCCCTCTGCAAATGAAAAAAAAACCCTCAATTGGCATTAAAAAGGCGAATCAATGTAACCACCATCTCCATAATTCTGCACCACCAGATACTCCCCATTAATTATAAACATTTCAGTGTTCTCTACTTAACAAAAAAAAGAAAAACCTCCCCAAGAGAGAATCAGAGTGAAAACATTTCTGTAATTCACTTTCATCCAGGATTAATCCATTAGCTGGATTGCGAAAATACCTGGAGACCATGTAAATAATTTTTTCCAGGAGCACATGGAGATGATGAAAAACAAAAAAAAAATATAGAAAAATGAGAAAATCGAGTTATCCATGCAGACTGGCGACCACAAACTGTAGAAGGATTTAACCAGCAAAGTGGTGGGATCAAAACGTGCTCGGGATATGGGGGGTTGAGAGGGTGAATGGGGGGTGTGGGATAATTTCCTGCATCCGGTGAGGACCTGAGGTTCGTCGGGGTAGGGGAGGAGGCGGGGAAGGGGGTGTGAAACAGAGGGGTACAATTAGCACGGGCAATGTGTAAAATGAATTATCATCCAGAAGGCTTTGGGTTGAGTGTCGGGGGTTATTAGTGGACCCAAAGCTCCCAAATATGTTCAATTCAATTCCAAACTCCAGAACATATGACGTGAATTTTCATCCCTGCTAATTGATATGTTTATTTCCTGGAAAAAATTGGAGGTATTTTTTCATTTGAATATTCATGAATTTGCGGGAGCGGATGATTGGAATTGAATTTTGGTGGAATTGATAACGAAAAAAATGACAAATGAATTTTCAAGATTCCACTGGTTTTTCATTTTTATTTAAACATTTGCACTCCTGGGGTGTAATTTATCACCATAACTCCATGACTGTGTCTCTTGTATTTTTCCTCAACAATTTCATTTTATAACCCATTGAAATTTCAACAATTGAGTAAAAATCGATCTCGACGCTTCAACAAATGCTCAACTCGTAAAAAAATAACGACTCACTGTGGCTGCAGCCACATCCTCCAGTGATACGATAGTCAAGAGTCCTTCCTAAATGACTTTTTCCACTCCTCAAATCACCAGAAATCATAAAAATTTTAATAATAGCTCTTCATATATTTTACTGAGCGTGAATTAATCTCCGGGGAGTGGTCGGTGAAATAATAGGCCCGATGGAGTCTCTATCGAATGAGTCATTGCCCGAAGCCCAAAAAAAAAATGGAATTAATAAAACAGAAATGGAGATCCTGGGACAATGGAGTTCGAATGAACGCACACGTCGATTTCATTATTTCCCAGAGAGAATCCGTCGAGTTCCACCGGATCTCTGAAATTTAAACCTTCGGAGAGGAGGCGAAAAAAAAATATATAATAAAAACGCAGTTGGAAGCGGAAAATGGTGGAAATGAGGGGGAAAAATGTAAAAAACCATTGGCGGTGGGGGGAAGGGGGCAAGGTGGATTTTTTTTTTTCACCCCCGACCGGGTATTCCTACCGGAAATTAAAGATTCAACGAGCCGTTGGTAATTCAGGGTAGCAGATTAAGAGAAACAAGGGGTTGGGGGGGGATGAAAAGAGGGTGATGGCAGAGGTAATAATGGAAATCGATGGGAGTTGACCAGTGACGTCCGGCAACGTTAAGCCCCCGCGGGCCAACGTAAATTGGACGGATTTCAATTTCACTGTATTTACAAGGTCACTCCAATTTGCTGAAACACAACTCATAACTGGCAAAATTGGAAACAACTGAGTTTTGACAAATGAAAAAAGTTTAATTGAGTTGGAACTATTATTTTTGTCATCGCGATTTTTTTTTTCAATCGAGGATGAGAATACAATTTCTCATTGAGATTTTTCCTCAGTCGATTACGCACTCAATTTGTCTGAATTTTTACTGACAATAAGTTAATATCGATATCAATATTTTTTTTTATTATTTATTTGAATTGAATAGATAGAGTTTTGATGGAAATTGTGGTTTTTATTGGTGAATCGGGGATTATTGCGGGAATGCGGGGGGAAACGGAGGGAGAGGTGTGGGAAAAATTTGTTTGGGGGAATGAAAGGACATTTTAATGATTTAATGATTTTCAGGAGGAATGCGGAGGGATGCTGCAGGATCTTAGCAACAAAATCAACAACAAGTACCAGGAGGTGCATACACATCCTCTGCTGTCGATCTTCAAAATGGCGGAGGTCGAGGTGAAACTACCACAGAGCAGTGAAGGGCATGTGGCCAGATCCTGGTTCATCCTGGTAATCCTCTCGATCCTGTTAATCACAATATCCAGTCGAATCGATCTCAATCCCAGTGTTCTTGATGCACCGACATCGTGACAGGCACCGTGAGTCTTCATAAAACGAAATAATCTGGACAGAATATTTATAAAGTGAGAGGGAAATAAGAGTGCATTCACATGCCTGTATTATGCTTGAGAAGCGATGTTAGAAAATGTGTATAAAATTCAATATTTAGGAGGTACTCAAATATGTATGAAAAAATTGTTGAGTGAATGGAGCTTTTCGTCGGGTGAGATTCATCGGCTCTGGGGCTGGGAATTTTTTCACTGAAACCACTGACTCCGAGTTTATTCCACAGAGAAAAAATAATTCTGAAATCGTCTTGGTGTTAAAACAAAAATTTTCTCATGTCTATTGAGTCTCAGTTCTAAATTCATTGCGAATAACAGCGCCATTGAATTTATCACTGATAAAAAATAAATAAATACTAGAAATTTCTTAGAATAGTCTATCGTTTTCTGTCATTCAGAACTATTTTCTCTCTGCGTTCCCCGATAATCCTCAAAACATTGGAGTTAAGAAAACTCCAGTTTGTTTCACCGACAATTTTCCCGGCTATTCAGTGAATCACTTTCGTACTCCCGAGATGAGACCCAGAAAAATGATTTATTCGTGTCAACTGAATGAGTTTATTTAAACACTTGTGTGAAATTTCAGGAGAAGTTGAAGCCAATAAAAAATGTGCTCATCTTCTCGTTCCATTGTACCACAGAGACGTGACAAATCGTGGAGTTTTGTTCAGTTCCACAAATACGTCATCATAACTGAGTTTTACGCCTCGAGAGTCTCCAAACGACTGAGATCCCCCAGATTCAGTGAATTTATTTTTGCAGAGAAACCTGAGAGCATCTGCCTCTCAAAATGTCCTTTCAGTATAATCTAGAATCGTCGTTACCTAAATGACTTCCATGCCTCCAAATGTTTACCCCAACCCCCTCCTTCTTATCAGTGTTGTTTCGCACCGAGGATCACTGATATTCGTTATCGCTAACTCCCCTCAAAACCCACAAAAGAGAATTTTTTTTTCCCATACTTATCACCCGTGGCATCTTGAAAACTTTTCCCTCCGAACGTTCCACCCGCGATGAATACCACGTCCATAAACCACATACCCGAACCAGCAACAAAAAAATTTTCCCGTGTAAATAAATCAATATTCATCATTAAAATTCATCGAATGCCTTGAAAATCCTCATTGTTTTCCCCTCCTGAAACTGCAATTAATTACCATTTAATTACCATTCCAGCCCAATCGTTACTAAAACTTCGAGAAATTCGTCTCCTGATAAGACGCTCAATATCAAAATTTCAAATTTTAATGGAAGACATGATGAAATTGATGAACTCAACTGTAATTTGTATTTAGAACATGGAAGCGTTCGTAATTCAGTGGCGAAAAATCTCGACCGAGTAAATTTTGATATGTAGCCACCAGAAAAATGAAAAAAAAAAACACGCTTGGCAAATTCAATAGACTCAAATATGTTCTTTCACTACTAATTCCAAAAGTTCTACACTCCACGAAGCAGTAAATCTCAGCCACGGATGGCATCGATTCGGTTGGCTCACAGGGATGAGTAATGCGATGGGATTTCCCGAGAGTATCGGTACGTGCCCGCTTGAAATGAAAAATCCGTGCGGACTGTCGTTGATTTTTGATTTTTTTTTCTCTCTCTCTCAGTCTATTTTATATCCTTCAGTTTTATGCCCAACGTTTTTTTTTTATCCGAATAATCCACATCGAGGGGTGAATTACGATGGGTCCAGGAAACGTGGGAAACTCGACGAGTGGCTTCACCGGATGAATGCAAGATTTATGGCATCGGTGGTCATTTATGCGAGGGGTTGAGCATTATTTCATGAACAGCCACAGTAGACTCTGGAGTCACTCAAAAAGGTGTTGGATTAATCATTGAGAGTACGAAAGTGCCATGAAGATGCCATCACTTCCAGTGTTTATACCATGATTGATACGACTCTATCATTTTCTATGAATTAAATTCAACTGACAAGTGCGACTGGGTGATGAATTCGGTTAGCACTGTTTGACGGTGTGCGTGGATAATATTATTATATTAGTTGTATTATACACGAGATTTATTATTATGTATATTAACAAGAGGGTGGGGGAATTATTTTTATTGCGAACTGGTGGAAACGAGTCTGGGTCTCGGATTATTTCGTTGCACTGAAGAAATTAAAAAAGAAAATGTCTTGTTGGAGAAAAAGTTTCTACATTGAGAAACCCATTTTCCTCGATCTAGAAAGTTTTTATTTCGTTGTTTTTTCATTGAAGATTGGAGATTATATCAATAGAAATTAGATGTTGAAGAAGTGAAGAGTAATGATGGAACAGTGCGAGGTCATCAGTTTCTGGGATACTTTTAAAATCATCATCCCACGATTTTCCGACTCATTTCGTTTCGCCATTTTCGCCATTCCGCCATTTCGCCACTTGGAAAAAGAGGGAAAAAATTACAGTAATTTTAAAAAGCTTCGGGAGGTGATTCCGACTGCAGTGGATATTCCAAAAATTCGAGGAGGAAGAATTAAATAAATAATGACAGGTCCTGGCCTCGATTTCTTGTAATATCCACGACAATTATCTAAAAATAACTCATACAACATTTATGACCGCAATCACTTGTGCCGCAAATGCATTTTCATTCGAGTAATTTTTTTTTCCCATAAAGATTATGGAAATACCCGTGACTGCTGCACAGTTGTTATCACTATTGAGCTTTAAAAAAAATGATAGGTTGAGAAATTTTATCGTGAACAACTATTCATGAGATTCCAAATAAAGGGACTATAAAAATAATCCCGGGAAATGTAAAAATTTATGGATAAGGACATTTCAATTCTACGGTTCAGTGGAGGGCCTGAAATCAGTCAGACTCAGTTGAGTATGTGTTTTGGTATATATCTAATCTACTTGGAGCTGGAGAGACTTACGACCGTGAGGCAGTGGCGAGTGTGACATGGCTATCGGAAAAGCAATAATGTACGAAGTTTATGATACAGGGAGAAGCACGTTGCACCACACGTACACACACGACACAATACAAATAAGGAGAATAACCCCGATAATTAACGGATGGATAAATACCTGGGCTGACATCGCGTCATCACCTCGGAACCTTTTTTCACTCGATATCCTCATCTCTTCAATCAAATTTTGCGTAATCGTTAATCGTCCATTTATTTTTTCATTCTGAATTCCAGGTACTTGTCGCGTTTGTTTACATCTATTTTTGCGCAATTATTTTAATTCCAACGGTTGTTACGCTGTTGTGAAATTTCTGTGCAAATTTACCCTTCAAAGAACTCCACAAAAAAAAATTAATGAAATTTTTGAATTACTGAAATTGGAACACAAAAAATGGTTTTCTACAGTAAAAAAAATTGACATCAAGAAATGAAATGGAATTTTGGTGTCTTGCAAATGCAGTCGTATAATTTGTGAAACAACGATTGATCTATTAATTACTTTGGCTTCTCTGATGAGAGATAATAGTCTGCGTTTACAGATATTGATGACCCGATATCGATAAAACCAACGAGAGAGCAGGAAAACGCGAAATACAAACGACGAAAAAACTGCATATCGATGCGATCTGCACTGCAGTTGTGAGGTGCGACTGAATTAAAGCTCTGGGTCACTTGTTTTTACGGTGTATTTGGTTTTGGCGTACAAACGGAATCGACACTGTGAACACGGAATATCGAATGAGCCACGGTGGAACGATGATTGACGGTGAACACAGAATAGTCCAGCTAGGAAGCAAGGTTAACCCCATTCTTTTTTTTATTTCACCATTTCTTTTTCGATTTTTCCCTTTCCTTGTCTCTCTGTTTTATCTGCCTCATATAAATTCTACCGTGTCCATATACGTCGTTACATCTGGACACTGTCCAATGAAATATCACAGCGCAGATCATAAAATTCACTCATCCATTTCCGCGTCACATCGGAAATCCAATAAAATCGTAACGATCACCTCTGACTTGAATCTCGTAATTAAAAAGTAGATAATTATCCTGACCATTAACGCTTTTTATGATTAAAGATGCGTGAACTACGGAGTCATCAAGTACGAGAAAAATCTCACACAAAAATAATTAAGATTTATTCATTGTATTTTTATGATCCCACGATAATAGTCTCTCATTTCAATAATTCGTTTCGAATAATTGCAATACTGATTAGCCATTAAATATTCCCCAATGATCGATCGATACTCCACTCCATTCATGCTCCAGAAATAATTACAATTCTGACGGACATGTCATAAGTGGCGCGTTTTACTAATTGCATTATCTTCATTAGCCTGTCGATGGGATCGATGTCTAACCGAGTTATTATTAATTTTCGTGAAGTGTACGGTATTTCCTCGTAATTATCGTATCGATAAACCATTTAATCGTAACGAATCGAAAAAATATTAGCGATACTCGATGCAGTGGATCTCCCAGCGTTAGGTCATGAAAAAATCCATCCCCCTTCCACTGTAAATCTCGCGAAAAGTGGAATAACGCGTGTATATCCCACCAGGGGATAAATAACTTCGGGAGTGAAGGCTATTCGAAAATTTATTGCCCGGGGCATATCAACAAATTTACCGAATGATATTGAGAGCCCGACGATTTCGATTGTCCGATGTAGACCTCGATAAAACAATAGTCTCTAGAAAAGCTCTCTTGAAGATTTTATTAGGCTCTCTTGAATCTTTTTTCTCACCGCAGAAATTCCCTCAAGTGTTTTCGTACACATGTACATGGATAAATAGGACAGGAGCAATAAACTTTGTCTCTACGGAATACAGCGGTCTTGTCTGTGAGGGCTATCCTGGGATTCGGGGGAATCATTCTCCTTTAGCATCGGGTTTCATCCCTCGGGTGGAATTGCACAATCATTGAATATCAATTGAAGTAATGAGATAATTTTTTGCCCAAAAAATATTGCAATCCATCGCACACTCATCGAGTTTTACTGTAATTTTTCCATAAGTGCGGTAACTTTCCTGGGAAATTCTCACAGTAATCTCATGACCCGGATTGATTTTTATCGCATTACACCGAGTGTAATTCATCACGCAGTCACATAAAATCCTCAAAAACACCGCAGTAATTCATCGCGCGTCTGACACACGTCGGATTTTTCCACTTGCTCGTCCCTTCATTCATTCCCTCAAACCGAGTGAACAAAAAGCCGGCAAAAACGCCGGAGTCATCTACAATTCTGACCCCAATTCTCTCCAGAATTAGAACCCGAGTGAAAAAAAAAGGCACAAATAAGTGAGAACAGAGTGCAGAAAATTAAACGTCAGACAAGTGGAAACACCGATCGTCCAGATACCGTGTGAAGAGGTTCACGCGAAATACTGAAATTAAAGTCCCGGCAATTGTCACGCAAATGGAGTATAAAAATGGTTGAAGTAATGGGAAAAAAAACAAGTACACAATACATAAACAATAAACAAAAGAATGTAAAACACTTCGTGGTTCCAATCGAACATATCAAGACCCCATTGACTTTTTTCTGTTGTAAATGGGGTCAGCCAACTTACAATGGTTTTTTATTCTCATTTAAATGTAGATTGAGTTTTTTCTATGCTTATTGAATGAAAAATAAACTGGAGTGGGTGCACGCAATATTGAAGGTGCATTCGTGCAAATTTCAGATTAATTTTTTTATTATTTGAGGTGATGGAGGCGAATTGTTCGCTCTCATTTTTTTTTATTTTTCTGAATTTTCACGAATGCCCTGGGTGACACGGATTTGTGTGGCTGAATGGTGCAGTGGCTGGGGTCACAGTTCGATTTTTGAGTGAAGTTGGATTATGAAGACTTGTGTAATAGAACGAAAGCTGTTGTTCAATTCCTTTTCTACTTTGACGACTGAATTGAACCTGTGCTTTTTCACTGTTTTGTCGACCAGTAGAGCTGGCTTACCGACTGTTGGTGAAAATTTTCCACGATTGATACGAGGGAATTCAAGTAGTGGAGGAAATTTCTGGTAAGACGAACAAAATTATCCGTGAAGAATTATTTATGCGCTAAATTTTGAGATATTACTTAATAATTAAAAATGTTACATATCGTAGAGTTTCCTCCATCGCTCGATGCCTCAATCATTTCGATGGTAATTTTGGCGATTTTTGGTAATTAATTAACGGTGAAAAATAAAGACTCAATCGTGTCTGGATTTGTCTACCGTCTGGTGTCAGTGGCGTATTATATATGAAAATATACAAATATATTTTTTATTACTTGGAGTGAGCCTCATCCCAGCCACTGATAATGTTAAGACAATGTAATTATAACTGCAATTAGTGCACCGCTGAGCAAAGCTTGAGATTGTACCTCATGTGGAAAAACTGCAGATGAATTCGAATGGTGGAATCGAATTGTCTGCGCTCATATCCTCGATTATCTCGGGCGAAAAAATTGACTTCCTGCAATTTGATTTTTCGATGATGAGATAGTCGAGAGGATAATAACTGCTTTTCAGGTCTCCCCGGATATTGTACTACGGTAACTCCATTCGTACAATTTCCAGTTTGTCTGATAGCAAATCAATAAGCTCAGGGTGTCAGCGAGTGTGGATTCGTTACTTCCTCGATGTTTCATTTAAACTTTATAAAAAAATTCGGTAGAATTGCCACATTCAACATTTTTCCACTCACCAAATTCATTCGAAATTCATTCGAAATGTTCTAGGATTTTTTGAAAATCGAGAAACCAAATCTGCACTCGAGTACACCTCATTAACCCGACATTCCCTCGTTACCCTCAAGGCACTAATTGAAAATGAACCCAAAGTCCTCTAGCGCAAATCAATGAATAGTTAAGGTACGCGTATGTACATAAAATACTCAATTAACAATTACCAAATAATTAGTTTGTCAGTTGGATCGATGATAACCGACGAAGGGAAAGCTCCCGAGTCAATGGGACAAATCAATTGAGTAATCGAGTCGCTAAAACTCGCGGAGTCATCAGCCACAGGGAGAATAGTGGATGTATGATACACTTATATATAAAAGATGCAACTGTGAAGAGAGATTAATAAATAATAAATTGTTATAAGTTATTATGAAGATAATTAAATTGCCGAAAAAAAGGAAATGTTGGTAAATAAAACGAGTCTTCACCAGACTCGAGACTAATTACTGTCTTCAATTAATTACTCCCCCAATACCCGAATCAACGGTTTGCACAATAGTTAACTCATAGTTAACATTACAATAAAAAAAAATTAGATGGATAATATTAATCAGAGAGTTCTCCCTCAATTCTCCAGAATCCACAAACTCCGCAAATGCCAGTCGCAATGAATTCATTAATGCCTCATCATTCATTAAAGGTAAAAAAAAAATGCTCCAATAATTACACGAGTCTCATCACCGCAGAAAATCAATGTCCATCCCGGTGACCCAGTGAGAGCCATTCTTTACACCGTTGTCCACTCAACCAAAAGGAAGTAGAAAGAGACGCGAAGACAACCGCAAAGTATTGGATTATCCAACCGAGGATATTATCTCTATAAAAATAGTCCACAGCTCTGACAAAACAATTTTTTTCCATCTTCCCAAGAGGCCCCGTAAAATCCACCCCATGAAATCATTTATATTATCCTCTCCTGAATATTAAATCAATTTCTCTCACTCGTGAAGAGGCTTTCTCTATCCCTCAGTTGTGTGACGGAATCTCATTAAAGAGGACTGCAACAAGAGGTGTTAGACAAACACAACTACTACCCTACATTTATAAAACTCCGATGCGATTTTGTACCAACGTGGCTTGACACGCGAAACCCATCGTCTCCTCTCGTTCTGGCTCCTCTGCCTTTTTTTTTTCCTCCGGCATTATTTTTTTACCTTTTATTTCACTCTCTTGTCTAAACACGAGGAATGAACAGTGAGGGAGTGAAATGGAAGACGAGGCTTTAATCAGTTAGTCGATAGACAAATTGGGTTAGTGTAGTCGACCATGGGCACTGATAGGTGGGTTGTTGAGGAGACAGAGTCAAGTCGATGTTGAGTTATGGCTGGTGGATGAGAGGTGGTAAAAATAACGACTGTCTTTGCGTTAGGATTCATTTTATCTGATTATTCGATGATCATTTGGATAATTGTGCACTATTCAGCGAATTATTCAGTGGAGTGGTGGGTACTGAGGACCGAGAGATGAAAGAATCGTCCTGCGGATATCTCCAGAGCTAGTGGATCTCCAAGAAACTTCCTTCGAGGATAATTGCTAATAATTCGAGTCAAACATGAGCTGATTTTTTATTCAATCAGGAATGACTTCACCCCTTTGATCTAGAGTTAGATGAATTGTTTAAGATTGATAAGTAATGGTGTGATAGCGTCCAGGACGTTTTTTTTTTCCTGAATTTGAGCAGTGAGTAACGATAATTTGGGGAAAGGGTTATTTTTTTCTTGTCCGGTGAAAATAGCATCAAGGGATAAAGTGGAATTGTGGGTGAGGAGGAAATTGAGCCCAGATGAACGGTACGTGGATGACCCGTCGTTATCATCATCCATTCTTGGATCATCCATCGAGGAAGAGAATCACGTCAATTTATCGATCACGGAAGCCCCATATCCGATTCATTGGAAACACCCTCTGAATGTATTACCTCCTTGACGCATTTACATGGATTAAGTTCCCTAGACATATGGTGAAATTCTCGTGATAGAAGATTTCACTCTGTTCCATCGACTAACCCCGAAGTCGACGACTGGAAAAGCCAATTGGGGTGAGTAATATTTTTCCTGCATTTTTGTGTCATCGGGGGTTCGACTTAAAACCTCTTTTTTATCGTTTACATATTTTTCCCCTTTTCTCTCTTCTTTGTTTTGAATTTATTTATTAGGTATGACGAAATATTCGTTGATGGTAGTCTACTGTCTATGTGCCCTCATCGATATGGCGTCCCTTCATTTTTCGTGAGTATAATCGAAAAAAAATCAAATCTAGACATTGTAGACATGATCGATTATCGATTTTTCATCAATGATGTATTACTGTCTCGATTCACTGATTTTTCAGTATTTACGGAATAATTTTCTCGTCATTATCGGTAACGACTGCAATTGAAATTTAACGAGTTTTACTAATAATATTCGATAATCGATCAGTGAAAATGAAAAATGCCCTCTTTGTCCCCGTTCAGTACTCTCTCTTTACTGTTCGAGTTTTCAGCGAGAAAATATGCGAACCGGTACTTTCAACGGAGGTCGAAGGGTGGCATATTAAAGTCGATAGCCTATCGTCTCGCACGATTCGACTATCCGCAAGAAAACGCGGATACCGATTTTTTCCCAAGATCGAAAGGTAATTAGGAGTTTGAAGAGAAAAACCGAAGAAACAATCCACCACACAAACCCCCGAAATCGTCCAACAAATATTCTCACCCCTGATTATCCCAAATTGAATTATTCATAAAAGAAAAAAAAAAGAATATTTGCATCAATGCATTTCGTTATTACCCAACTGCATTACGGTAAAACCAGTATCATAGACTCAAGGGTATTTCCAAGCGAGACTTCCTAGGGCTTCGATGATATCCCACTATGATTTGATTCAAATATGACAGATTTATTTATTCAGTTTGCGCTGACATGTCATTTTGAGAATTATACGTTTTCATTTAACCCAAGAAGACATCATTTTACCATTATCGTAATAAAAATCGACAGCTGGGAAACACCAGATGCTGTCGATCAGCCGAGAAACATCTGCCGAGGGTCGATAAAATGAATAATGACAAAAGCTCATGACCGGCAGTCGGTACATATCCTCGGTTACGATTACTAAAGGATATTTTAGCGAATTAAAATTTCTCTCCTCCGTTTTTTTCTTGTGTTTTTGTGCATTACCCCGATACCAGGGGATTGGAGATTGAGGAGTACGGCAGAAAAGAGTCATCCTTATCATTAAGGGACATCCTACCCTTCAATCCTAAGGCTTATGATAAACACAGACCACCGAAATTCGCTGGACAACCGACTGTTGTTTACTTCCATGTCACTGTGCTCAGTATCGACTCCATAAATGAGGAATCAATGGTGAGAAATTGCCTGACATTTTCTGTCAATTGTCAACAAAAGCTTTAGACTTTAGAAATCTCACTCCGATGATTTATGTTGGGCATCTGACCATGATTAAGTCAGTGGGTCATGGATTTTGCTATTTATTTTCCCCCTGCAAGATGACGCCACCAGTTTCACCCTTTCCTGGTGCTTTCTGCTGCCTCTTCATCCCCAATTTTCCGAGGCAATTTTCATGGGTTTTATCTGCCCCACAGACTTACGTTGCCGACATATTTCTGGCTCAAAGCTGGCGTGACTCGAGGCTAAGACTTCCGGAAAACATGTCCGAGGAATACAGAATACTCGACGTCGATTGGCTGCACAACATATGGAGGCCGGACTGCTTCTTCAAGAACGCCAAGAAGGTCACCTTCCACGAGATGTCGATACCAAATCACTATCTCTGGCTCTATCACGATAAGACTTTACTCTACATGTCCAAGTGAGAACAATTGGCTCTTAACAGTCCAAATGAGAAAATACAGTGAAAAGCTTCAGGGGAAATAATCGACTGTAGTCAGACGAGGATAGAAAATATTTCAAACACTGTGGGAGATATTTTAGGGGCGGCTATTCACTCTGTGGTTTTCACCACTCGTTTTTCTTTTTGCCTCTCAACCGCGGGGTGTAATCGGGTGAAGTAGAGAAAAATAATCTGGAGAACTTCAAGTTTTTCACTTTCATGATTCTCTTTGTTTTCAGACTCACCCTCGTTTTATCCTGCGCCATGAAGTTCGAGTCTTACCCACACGACACGCAGAATTGCTCCATGATGATTGAGAGTCGTGAGTTTAGCTCATTGTTTTGTTTATAATTAATGGACGGGTAATGTTGGGGGTGGCGTAGCCGTGGGAATGATTTTATTTGGGAAGTTTGGAGTCTAGTAAAATTTTTTCCGTAATTTTTTCGCAATTTAAAATGGAATTGTCGTTTTTTTGGTGATTACTCTTGGAAGACCGCTGGAGCCATCAATAAACCTTTGATCCAGTGGGTAACACTTACCAATGGAATTTTCCAATTTCTTGCTATCATTAATTCTCTGGAGCTCCGGCATTGTGCCTTCTCCCCTTTCCCGATTTATCATTTATCCCGGGCATCTTTTTCTAGTGCTCAGGATGATCAAATCTAGGGAATAAAGAGTCTCATCTACAGGAGAGACAAATCCAATTTTACTTCTGTCCCCCAAAAAAATATCAGTCACGAATGACAACAAAATGGGAAATATGTTCACCCGAAGAAGGACTTATTCTACTCGATTATTCAACTTGAATCGCGTGATTTAATATTTTTGGAATATCCGCACTTAATAAATGTTGAAAATGATTTTTTCAAGTATCTCACACGACTCAGGACCTCGTCTTCATCTGGAACATGACAGATCCGCTGGTCGTGAATCCAGAGATCGAGTTACCCCAGCTCGACATCTCCAATAACTACACGACAGACTGCACAATCGAGTACTCGACTGGCAATTTTACGTGCATACAAATTGTCTTCAACCTGAGACGTAGACTGGGCTATCACCTCTTCCACACGTACATCCCATCAGCCCTAATCGTCGTCATGTCGTGGATTGCATTTTGGATAAAACCAGAGGCTATTCCTGCACGCGTCACCCTGGGAGTTACATCATTATTGACACTGGGTAAAGTACCCTTTTTACTTTTAATATAATGAGATAAGAGGGACTTATAGTTATTTCAATTGTCAAGAGCCTCTTAGTTTCTCCAATTGTCATTGATCTCTATTATATTTTTAAGCTCCTTAAAGTTATTGTACGTTTGATGGTTTAATCACGGAAAAAAATATGAAAAAAATCAGTGAAGATTTTTTTTTAATCGACGGAATACATTGCAGCAACGCAAAATACACAATCCCAACAATCCCTGCCGCCAGTATCGTATGTCAAAGCAATCGACGTTTGGATGTCATCGTGCAGTGTATTTGTCTTCCTCTCGCTAATGGAATTTGCTGTTGTCAATAATTACATGGGTCCAGTTGCAACTAAAGCAATGAAGGGGTACTCTGACGAGGACATCAGGGAGTCGATTGATGAATTTAAGGTACTCTATCAATTAACTTCTGTCTAGTTAGTTCACTCGATCGTTGTCATTATTGTTGTCATTATTATTGTCATTATTGTTGTCATTATTGTTGTCATTATTGTTGTCATTATTGTTGTCATT